TTTTTGTTTTTTTTTTACATTTCAGTTTGTGCAATAACAATCAAGTTTTTTTAACATAAGTATTTATCATGCCATAATCTAATTCACATGTTAAAAAAGAAAAGATACAACAGCAAAAAAATCAGCTATATAGAAAGATAGAGAGAACAGGGTTGCGAAATCGAAATTTTAGAAATCAGGAATTTTTCGTTAAAAAACACGAGTTGATCAGAAGATTTTCCTTAGAAAATAAGGAGATTTTTTTCTTTAAACCAGAAGAAAATACAGCAGTGTCACGCACTTTTCCCAAAAAAGCAAAGCTTTTTATTCTCAAATGTTTACAGTTTTGGTTCTTAATAAGTGATTTAATAAGACGATCTATCTTACCATTGAAAACTACAAATAAAACTGATATAAGATACGTTTGTAATTTTCTTCAAAGTGAATTTGTTTGTTTAACAATTCTACATTATTTCAAAGATTTTCGCATTTAATTTTGAGCTCGACATCCATTAAGATTACTTTTTTATTCTATTCGTGTTATCATATCGTCAAAAAGTTTGTGTAACTGGAACTTTGACTCATGATTAGTTCTTTAAACTCATTAATTATCGGTCCATAGTAGTACTGGAATCAGATCGAATCTAACAAGATCGATCATGTTTCTAGCGATAAAAAAACCTAATATAGCGTACACATTACTGGTGGAGTTGGTAAAATAAGGCATAAAACACACGTTGTCTAATTATTTATTGTAATGCTCAGGTAAAAATATGATTTTTGTTGCATGTCTCATATATGCTCTTCGAAAGTATACCATCGCACAAAACTCTTTCCTCTTTTAATTTCTTTTTTATCATACCTTGTATATAATTTATTGTCGAGTGAAATATAACTTCAGAGTTTTATTACATTGTGATCGTTTTACCATACTGAAATAAAACGCTTAAGTCATATCTCTACTAGACAATAAATTTTATACAAAGTATGATAGCACACAAATAAAAATGGTGGACAGATTTTTTTGTTCGTAGGTGTATCTCATATTTGGATTCATATTTCTATGAAGTTTTTATCAAAAGAATTTGAGACATATGACACTGATTTGGCGCTATCTGATTTGCTATCATATATGTATATATAGTTGTCTACTCTCTTTTTTCTCTTTTTTCTCATTTGTTGTATATAAAACGTCGTCAAAACTTATGTAAGAAAAGAATTAAAATGGTGTGGATGTGTTTTTTCTTCACTCATACCCACCCTCATCCTTATTCACTATTCATATGAGCATGATCATAGGTTGAATATAATTTCTGTTCATTATTTATTTTTCAATTCACAAACTTCACTAAAATTATCAATAGCTGAAATTAAAACAAATAATTAGTTAAGACTACTAAATGATCGAGCTGTCTATTTTCAAATGTAGTATTATACGCTACATCTGGATTTTTTCTGCAATATTTAGCTTGTACAAGATGATGAAAATTAATTAATACGAATTGTCACTGCTATTCTTGGGAAAGATCCATCCATTAATGATCAGACACAAATCGAAATCACATTATTAGGTGAGAAGCTGAAAGTTTCTATTTAGTTGAAGGGTGTGGGATGGTTGTGTTCTCATGACTTTGTGAATTACACTCTCAATAAGTACTAAATTGATAGGTTGATCATGAAGACGAGGGCGAAATCTGTGCTTGAGATATATTACGTGGATAATAATATTTTCATTAAGTGTTATTTCTTTAATATAACATAAACAAAGAACTTTGCCGATGAGCAACTTTCTTAATATTGTATACTTCTATGATATCATCAGATGATATTATTAAAATTTATTTGTATCTATAAAAAATCGTTGTATTTTATTTATTTATCATATTACAAAAAAAAATGAAATTAACAAAGACTCATGACATAGTGAAGATATATTGAAAGCAAACTTTCATAACATTCAAGATGATAATAATAATACACATAAAGTAGAAAATTTTATTAAATTATATGCAAAGCAAAAAACAATTGAACTTTATTTTGGTCTTCGTCGAACAGCATTTGTCATACAATGAACACCACCACCACCTTCTGATAGACCTTCAAAAGGTATGAGACCTACTCGACACATATTGTTGTGAGTCATATGAGTAACAATCCCTTTTTCAGCATCACTACCAGCATAAGTAACAACATGACAATCATCAATAACAACAACATTATGTCGACATTGTCGTTGTTCATCAATCGATGTTTGTTCATCTTTTGCATCATAAAATATTAAATCAGGATTATTCAGAAGTTTTCGAAGAGTTTGCCGAACATTAAAACCATATGATATCCATTTTGGTTTTAAACATGTCTTTTGATGAGAATATTGATTTTCTACAGTATATATTTGCATAGTTTCAGCTAATAGACCATGTAATGTAAATGCATGTTTACCAACTGAACTAAGAATTGTATCTAGATGCATGTAACATCGTTCAGGAGGTATCATAATAACAATAACTTGATGAAAAAGGCCTGTTCGAGTAAGTGCTTCAATGCCAGTTCGATTAGTTCTTTCACTACAACCAATAAGTAGAATACCATCACCAAGATAAGCAACATCACCACCTTCGATTGTTGGTATTTCTTTATCATTTTCATCAATATTTTTTTGCCATTCAATGATTTCTAATCCACAATTTGATAAATGTGGATGATATTGAAAAATAATATGTAATAGAAGTGGCTCGTTTAGTCTTGCTGGTTTACTCATTTGCCAAATAAAAACATGATTATCAATAATTGAAAATCCATCACGCATAAATAAAAGATTAGGTAATGGTGGAATGAGATATTCATTCATTGAATTATTTGTTGTAAGAAGAATTTGAGCATAATCAGATGTACCTAATTCATCTTGTGAACAAGCCACACCAACAATAATATCTTCAGTTAATTGTTCAGGCGTTCGATGAAGTAACCATTGTTGGAGAGCTAATAAAGATTGTTGTTGATTATTATGATTGAAATGAGAATTAGTAAGAATGCCTTGAATCAATTGAGAACGTGCTTGATCACTTGAGATAAGTGTTTGCCGAAGAAGATCTTCAAGATAAAGTACATGTATTCCATGATCACGTAAATATTGTGAAAATATATCATGAGACTGATGTGTTTGAATAATATTAGGAAGAGCATCATAAAGAAGAAGATGATGATTATCTTTTGTTAATCGAAGAAGTTCTTTGCCTGGTCGATGCATAAGAACAATATCTAGTTTGCCACATTCTGAATGAACACCAACACCAAATTCATCGAGAATCTCTTTGATTTTTGAAGTAGATATGTTCATTTTATTAGTGAGACTGAATGATTGAGAACTTCTATAATAAAATAATATTAATGTTTTTTTCTCGTGAACTATGCGTAATATTTATATCTTATGGTTTATAAATGTGCACTTTCAAAGGATGAAATTATGTATGACGGTATACATTTTTTTTTATACACATATTATGCAATACATAAAAAACCTTAAGTTATAACCATGTTATTCGCGTATTTTTCTTATCCGTAATAAAATCAAACAGTGACCTTGACTAAAACAACGTGTCTTACTGATGATGATTGTTTCATTTAATATAATTTAAATGCCAACTTTTGCATTATTGAATAAAATGATGAATAATATCACTATAGAGAACTCTTGCAAGCAATAGAAATTTTCTAGGCAATAAGATCTTGTCTTTCAAACTCTCGAAAGTAGAAATTATCAATATTTAAAGCAATAGTAAAATTTAAATGTATGTATACTATCTAGTCTCATATGCTACTCGTTTTTAATCGAAGCTTTTTTCTAAATTAATAAAAATTAATTGAGTCTCTAATGAAATGATGAAACAAACTGAACTATTACGAAAAAGTACGTCGTCATCAAAGATATTATCTAATGGACCTATCAAAACAGTTATCTTATATATAAACTAATAAATATTCTTGAGCAAACATATCGATACTCGAAGAGAAATGATATACTATCTTTTCAAACGTGTTTTGTAATGTCAGTCTTATTGATGAACATCGGCGAAGACTTCTAGTATTTATCGTTTATTGATATTTCTCTAACAATAATTAATTAAAAAACAAATCTATAAGAATAAATATTTTACTTTGCACATACCGTGTTAAATTTTTGAAGAACTCAATCATTTGAAACTGTTATAAAAATACAACTATTATGGTGTAATTTAATCAAATACATTTTTTCTTCTTTTCTCTTGTATGTATGAGAAGTATGATATACACTCTTTTCTTTTTATCTGACATCTTCAATTTTGTACCAGTTCGTCTGGCTTTTTTTGCACTTCATGACCTGTACATGTTGTGAACTATTGATAACGTCCATTGATATTTTTATTATCAAACTCTCGAGATTGACTTTTGTCCTAATATATACTGTGTTAACATTGAGAAGAACATAATCTATTGATGTTTCTCTAGTCAGTAAAAAAAGATGTATAAATAGTTAACTCTTTCAAGACCGACCTATTGTGAGAAAAAAATTACACTTACAAATTAAGGATAGATTCTAATCCTGATTCTGAATCGTTGAAAATTTTGTCGATTTTCATTTGATTGAACGTCCTTTTTCTTGAAGTCACCTTATGTAGAATGAAACCTAATAAAGTACGAACTGTGAGTTCGTAAGTGACTGTAAAGAGAACACAGAGCAGGTATATATATATGAGCAAGAGAGAGAGAAAGAGAGTGAAAGCTCTCTCGAAGGTGACGGAAAGAGAACATCACGTCATGTTCAATGATAGGAAGGTAAGAGAGAAAGGATATGTACAAGGTAGAAGAAGGAATAAATTATGACCTTACAGGTCATAACATCGTCCATAACATGCACGTGTAAAAAAATTAGCCGCAACGTTTACCTTCAAGATAATTCAAGAAATAAAGTGTATGATTTACTCAAAAGAATCTTTTATTCATTCTTAGTTGTATTAAATTATGATAAAAAGATTACACAACTAATGTATCAATCTAATAGATTTTCTCAATTGATTGTGCATTCTATTTTGAGCATGATGTTTAATGAGTTGTTGTGTTTTTGTTTTAGTATTATTATTTGTAATCATTTGTTCAAAATCAAAATTCAATGTAAATGTAAGTGTAACATTTGAACATAATTGAACACTACTATAATTATCAGTTACATTTGTAGTTAAAATTTTGTAACCTTGTCCTTCTACATATGTACCATTGAATGGACCTGTTGTATAAATCAATTGTTGTACAACGGGTAAAGCTTGTTTTACATATATAACTGAATCTTGATTATATTTTTCACCTAATCGATATATCAGAGCTCGTTCTCGATCTGGTAAATCATTATGAAGAATAACAAGAAAACTATGTTCACTAGCACCATCATAAACTCCAAGTACATTTGAATACAAATATTTATTAGTCAAATCAGTTGATAAATTACCCAGCCGTTTCTGAATGGCTTCATCAGTTAATTTAAATTCATTATTTGATAAATTCGGATTATGTTCTGCACTTATTATAGCATAACCACCATTATTCAGCAAATTTATTAATGTCTTATTCGATAATGTCATTGGATTCATTAATGAAGTCCATGTAGCTATAAGAAAATAAGTTTAAAATAAATTAAAACGAAACATTTATATGATTTTACCTGAAATAAACTGAAAATACAGCAAACAAAATACTATGATACAAGATACCATTGTATCAAAAATAGTATTCGCAAGAGAAAATAAACTGATTTTTATTTCTATCGCTTTCAAACCATCAAAAACAAAATAGATTATATTATCAAATAATCCATTATCAAACAAAAAACTAAGACTTGCATCGTCATGATTGTTATTCTGAATAATATATTTCAATACTAGTTGTTACGAAGTAGAATGAAATAAACGGAAAGATTAGTAATAGAGTACCATCTATTGCAAGAAAAATTTTGAATCGATAATAGGAAATATATGTTCAGAATTAATTTTACTAAGAAGGTAATCTATTTATTTAATTGTATATGTTATTAATATATTTTTTTTAAAAATATTTCAATATCCGATAGCGACATCTAAATAAAAAAAATTTTTGTTGTCCTTGACATCAATGGATAAGAAGCAATGTGTGGATTCAAACATCTGAACGATTAATTTGATTGATTGTATTTTTCTCATATATTCTCGAATTTTGTTTTTTTTGAACTCATATTCAGGTTTGTTATTAAACTAATTTAAATTTTGTTTTCTTAATCTATTTATTAAAAGAGGATCATGTCATCACCAAATAATGGTACTGCTACTGTTGAAGTAATAAATAAATTATTCAATTAAATCTTACAAAAAATTTGCTTTTTTAGACACTATCTGAAGTATTTCGATGTTTTATTTGTATGGAAAAATTACGTGATGCTCGTCTTTGTCCACATTGTTCGAAATTATGTTGTTATCCATGTATTCGAGTAAATAATTTTTGTAGAATATGAATATTTGTTTGAAAACTTTAATATAAATTATTAGCGCTGGTTAACTGATCAACATCATCAATGTCCACATTGTCGTGCAACACTTCATTTACATGAACTTGTTAAATGTCGATGGATTGAAGATGTTACAAGTCAACTTGATACTTTAAAAATTAATGAAACTAATAAACAAAAAGGTGAAGAAAAAGACAAGTTAGTTTCTTTTTTATTGATTCTTATAAGAAAAAAAATATAATTTTATATATTAGATGTGAATTACATAAAGAAAAATTAACTGTATATTGTCAATCATGTTCAAAATGTATTTGTCATCAATGTGCTTTATTTAATGGTTCAGTAAGTTAATAATTTGTCAATATAAATTGATATTTAATTAAATATTTCTAGCATGTTGGCCATAGTTTTCTTCCATTTGATGATATTTATAAAACAAATTTGTCTATTGTTAATGAACATCTTGGAAAATTAAAACGACGACATGTTGATTTAATTTGTTTAGCACAAGATGTTGTATGTAGTTTATTGTTGTTTCTTTTTTTGTGTTATTGTATATGTTTTTTTTCAAAGGAACGAAATGTGGAAAATGTAAAAATAGCAAGAGATGAACGATTTAAAGAAATTATAAATATTATGCAAACAATACAATCAAAACTTGATGAACAATTTAAGATTAAAATGGATGCCTTAGATGGTAAGATATTCTATTGAAATAATAATATCGTGATAAAAATTTGTTTCTACTAGCTCAACGTCTACAATTATCAAGTGAAACAGAATTAATTGAACATAGTCTTCATGATATTGAACATCGTATATCAACGAATGGTAAAGTTGAAGTTATTAGTAAACAACAAGATCTTCTTAATACCATTCAGACAATTTGTCAAAAACCAATGATAAATTTTCGTACATCACCTATATCATGTGATTTTCCAAGGTAAAACTTCTTTGAATATATAGTAGAGTTTATAGAATGACACTTTCTGTTTTTTTCTTCTAGTGAAATCATTCCTCCATACGATTCCAATATATTTAAAATAACGAATTATTCTCTTCGTCGACAAAATGTTGATCCAATTTATAGTCAACCATTACATATCAATGGTTTAACATGGCGTTTAAAAGTTTATCCAGATGGGAATGGTACTGTACGTGGTACACATTTATCTGTATTTCTTGAATTAACAAATGGTTTAAGTGAAACATCAAAATATGAATATCGTATTGAAATGATTCATTACTCAAGTAAAGATCCAACAAAAAATTGTACTAGAGAATTTGCATCAGATTTTGAAGTTGGAGAATGTTGGGGTTATAATAAATTCTATTCACTTGATGCATTAATAACGGATGGTTTTATTGATCCGATTAATGATACTTTAATTATACGTTTTCAAGTACGTCCACCAACATATCAACAAAAATCTCGTGATCAACAATGGTATATCAAACATTTAGAAAATGAAAATCTACAATTAAATAATGAAATAAAGACTTTACATGGAAAAGTTCTTTCTCTTATTTCAAAGAAACGATCTAATGATAATATACTTTCAACAACAAGAAGTCTTGATGATAATGAAGGAGAACATTTAACAGAAACAGTAGTTGATATAAGCGAAGTAAACGAAGATGATGATGATGATGACGATGATGATGATGATGAAAATGATGATGATTATATGTATCTTAAAGTAAAGAAATTTTATTTTACTATTGAATTATAATTATTCTTTACTTTTTAGTCAGATCAAATGGATTCCGATGAAGATGTGTAAGTAATAAATTAACAGTTAGTTAATTCACAACTCATAATTCTTTATTTTATAGTTTAGCAGAAAATGATGTTGGAGAAGAACCAACTTCCCCATACAATGATGTATCAACACCAGCTCAACAAAGTCTTCATCAACATTTATCATCTCAATCAAATGAACAACCAACTGCTAGATCTACAATTCCACAAGTAGCAGCTGCAGCAGCGAAACCTAATTCATTAATAACAGATCCTTTAACGATAAATATAATACCTGATGAGAATGATGCTGAAGTACAAAATGCATTTAATGCATCAAAATATAATTCAACAATATTTAGTGATGCATTACCATTTGTTATCGATGAAAATGTTATGCTTGCTAATATATTAAAACGTAATACAAATAGTGAACAAAATATAGTTTTACATCCAAATGGTTTAGTTTACTTTTTGATTTCTAAATAAATAAATAATTTTTCTATTTTTGTTTTATTTAGATAATCCATCGAATAGTTCAATATTATTCCGTCCAATTATACAAACGAATACCAATGAATCAATTACTGATTCGAGTGAATTTCTTTCATATCATCCTCCTCCATCAATACAAAATCAACCATCATTAAATAATTTAATGATATTCAACTGTCCAACATATCCTTCAAGACCATCGACAGATCATAATTCTCAACAACGTCGACATAAAAGTCAAACAGCTCAACCTATCACTACTAATGATCAACAAAAATCTGAACAGAATAATATCCAAAAGAAATAGATTAGTCCATATATAAATCTCACGGTGATACTATACTTGCTTCAATTCATATATATATATATACATACATATATAGATATTTATTTTGAGTGATTACAAATATTTGCACGTGTGTGTTAATTATTTATTCTTTTATTATATAAAAACAAGCCTAAAGATTAGTTTGTCTGATTTTAACATTCAAATAAATATTACATAGTTGTCTTAATATATATATTCATTTTAATACTACTTAAAAAATAAAATTTACTTTCGAATGAAAAGTCTCAAGATGATTTTATATTATTCTACTGAATCAATCTAGAAATATTAAGCCAATTACTTGAGTAATATTTTATTGTATATCATATACTGACAAAAAAAAGGAAACTTTGACAATTACATATACTTTAATCTTCTAAGAAAGAAAATGATGATTTTCATATTTTTTAATGAAAATAAGATTAGCAGATGAGGTTTGTTGTTGCATGTGGAAGATTAAAACATTTGCGAACTCGATGATAACATTGTACTCGTGCTGCTTGCATATGATATCCAGCTTTTCCTGAACATTCATATTCATTTAATTTTCGAGTTGTACTTCCAAAATCACCTTGTTGTGCTAATATATCCATACCAGTTTCTTTATAATACCAAATAGCTGTTGCAGCAGCTATTTTATCTGAATGACTAACTAGATCGGGATTTTTAAGTAAATCAATTGCAAGAGCTTTGCCAGCATTATAATAATTACATGGATAAGATAATTGAAACCATCCACGACCAAAATATTTTATATTTGGACGGGCTTGAATTGAACACCATGATGATTGATAATTATTACAGGCTACAAAAAATAAAGATATATATTCAAAAAACAAAATAATTTTGTCATTTTTTTCAATACTTACTGCCTTGATCAGAACAATATTCAGCAAGAGTTTTAAGACCATCAGTTTCATGTGATACATGTGTAAAAAATACAGCTGCTTCTGTACTATTGCTTAATTTCCAATTCATTAATCTCATCGCTTCCATTAAACCTTTATAACGTTGAGCACGTAAATCAGGTTTAATCATTGGAAAAATACATGCAAATGTTTCTGGTGTTATATCAAAATTACCATGTTGTGTATTAGGTGATATATTACATGGACCAGATTGACATCCTTCACCACAATATGCATCTGTTTTACCACAATAACCCCATTTTGAACAGCATTCATTTTTCGAACAAAAACAACTTGATCGAACAAGACGTTTTAAACTTTCAACAAAATCACTGCCTACATTACCATTAATTTCATGTAATATTACAAACACAAATAATATTTGAATAATATGCATTGCACCAGATGATATCAGTTATCTACTAATTATTTCTATATAGTCTCGAAATATATATATATGAAGAACTGATAGTATGTATTATATAAAATCTATTATTTCTCTCCTCCGCCATTCTTTACATATTTAATAATAGAAAAAAGCAGATATAACGATAAGTGTATACATGCATTTATTTAATTGTGTCAAGAATTCAAAATATCAAGTTATTCATTTTTGATTGTATTATCAATAGGAATGCATTGAAAATGAATTTGTTTTTTCTTCTCGGACAATTTATTTTTATCAATGAACACATTTTTATATTTTCCTAACAAATATTTATTATAATTATAGACATAAAAAAACACATCGAGTAAACATGATATATACATATACAATGATATTTTAATATTTATCATATTACTCTTCTTTTTCCCTTTCGTCTATCTATCTATTGTATAGAGATATACATAAGATAAGTGATCGTGAGAATATTTTCTTGTTTAAACATCTCACAACGAAGTATTTGATTAGCAAATACTTGTTATATGTCTAACTATATATATATATTAAATTGATGAACAAGACAAATATATAAGAAGATTTTGTAGTACATCTCATCACTTAATATGACATATGTCTTTTTCTTAAATGTGATAATGATCTTATCCATTTTATTTTATTGTATCAATAGATAATAGAAAGAGACTATTCAATAGTTTTTTATTCATTGCTTAAAGCGATGATTATCGGATTTAGTCTATCGCTTCACTCGATTGCACCGCGACAACGATTTTTTTAAGATAATCTTAATATGTTACAACTATTCTTATCATTAGTTACGGTGAATTTAAGATCTATATTTATTTAATCGATAGTAATGTGTAATGTCTGCAAGAGAATCGTTTGATTTTTTCTATATTTTCATCGATGAGAATAATACTAAGTAATCAGTATCAGAATTGATTCATCTGTTTGTTGTTCTCTTTCTTTTCTTTTTTCTTCTTCTTCTTCTCTTCTCTTCTCATAAGTTGAGAAGAGAAAAAAACAGAGAGAAAGAAGACGAAGAAGAGAATTGATCAATGTCCAGTGCATATATATGAATAGAGAGCATCGTTCTTCTCGTCATATAACAATTATGGCATATTTCACTTAAATATATCAATTGTTTTATCGATACTTTTTTTTTACAACTATACAATTAATTATTATATGTAAATTTAAATAACAAACAACATATATGACTTTAATTTTATTCTCATCGATTATTTTCATAATTGTATCCTTTCAACTATATATCATCGATGCATGTCCATCTGTTTGTTTATGTCATGGTGTTCATATTGATTGTAGCAATCGAAATTTACAGATAATTCCATCTGGAATACCAAAAAATGTATTTAAACTGTAAGTTTACTACTACTATATATATATTATAAATAGTTAATGATAGATAGAATTGAAACATTTCGATGTGTCTGTTTCTATGATGTAAGCTAAATAATGAATGAACGTTCTTCTCATATTTCCTAATAAATCTAATGATCGATTTGCATGTCCTTCATAATAGAGATATCAATGTCTATTGCTTCATTAAATGATCTTCTGATGTAATCATTTAGTTGAAATTCTGTTAAAGATGATGAGATATTATCTATAAACAGATAGATTTCTGTTTTCTTATTTCGTTATGATTTCTTACATCATCGAAATTCTTTTATGTAATGAAATCATATCAATACATGCTAATTGTAAATAAAAAAGTCAAGTGTAAAATAAACTATAATTTTCGATCATAGGGAAGAAAAAAAAGTTTAACATATGAATGGTTACATCAGATTATTTATTTATCTTTCTTCCTTTCTTTTTTTTTTATAGAGATTTACAATTTAATAATTTATCAATTATTCGAAAAGATGATTTGAAAGGATTTCGTCAACTACGTATATTGTAAGTATGATTGATGATAATATATACAAATCAATATTGCTTGTTTCTGTTCTATCTCATATAAAACAAAAGAAGACATGTATAGAGATGATCATCTTTTGAACTTTATTCATCTATTGACAAGGTTAAGAATTATTCTTCCTTTACTCAAATGTTTAGATCATGACAAGGTCAAGTAGCTAAATAAATAACAAAAGACAATGACCTCTTTATTTAGAAAATATAAAATATATTTTATGATTATTTTTTCTTTTTTTCCTTCTCATAGAAATCTTCAAGACAATCAAATACATACAATTGATACTGATGCATTTAAAGATTTATTATCATTAGAAAAATTGTAAGTGATATAAAATTGAAATAATACTATTAGTCTTTTTGTTAATTGATAATTAAAAAGAATAAGATTATAATCTTTTGATGTTAATGATCTAGTATATCATTTATATGATTCTTTATCGTTCGGTTCATTGACCAGATAGATTATTAGAACGAACATACAATGTAACGTACATTCTTGTCGTTCTTTAACTATATACTTCGACTAATGATAGACGATCAATATAGACGAGTGCATTTATGTAATATAAATGACTGACTAAGATGTACAAGAGGAATGATAATGATGATGATGATGGCAGATAAATGGAATGCATGATTGATAAATGAGTTACAATATGTTTATGTTTTTGTAGACGTCTCAATGGCAATAAACTAAACCATTTCACAGATGGCACATTTATTACACTTAAACAACTTCAAAGATTGTATACTTATACAAATAATAATCTATAAAATAAAAATTGTTTTGTTTTATTTCATTTTTCAGGGATCTTAGTTCCAATCGATTACGAGTTATTAAAATGGGTATGCTGCAAGGATTGCAGGACCTTCATAATTTGTAAGTTTAAACATATATATACTGAATTAACTTGATTTTAATCATTATATTATATAGACAATTGGATCATAACGAAATTTCATGTATCGAACCAGAAGCTATCAATGGACTCAAACGATTAGAGATAATGTTTGTTGATTAATTTTTCTATATACTAAATTATATGATGTTTTGTTTTCCTTTTCCTAGAACATTGAATTCTAATAATTTAACTACTTTACCTATGTTATCATTTTCACAGCTTATTGATTTAAGAGTTTTGTAAGTATATACATTCAATCAATCAATCACATATAAATATAATGATAAATGATTCTTTTTTAAAGACGATTACATGAAAATCAATTTATTTGTGATTGTCGTTTATTATGGCTTGCTAAATATCTTAAAATACATTCATTTCTTGGTATCAATGCTCGATGTCAAGAAACTGATACACGTAATTTTAAAGACATCATATCATTAATAAATGATGAAAAACGATGTAGTACGATAGGTAAAATTGTTTACATATAAATATGAGATGTTAATTTTTGTAAATAGATACTGATGATATGGAGTTAACATGTAATATATTTGTATGTCCATATCCATGTATATGTTTTAATGGAGTTGTTGATTGTAAAGATAAAGATCTTACAGAAATACCAAGAAATATTCCTGATACAACAATTGAATTGTAAGATTTAAGAAAATTGAGTGTTTGTTGTTTTTTTATAAATGAATATTTTAGACGTTTGGAAAAAAATCGAATTACAGAAATACCACCAAAAGCATTTATTCATTTAAAAAAACTTCGTCGTTTGTAAGTAACAAAAGAAATTTAATTGATTATTTTTGAATTATTTAATAAAATTTTTAGAGATATGAGTAATAATTTAATTTCAACAATCTATTCAAATTCATTAACTGGTCTCAAATCACTTAATTCACTGTAAGTAGTTCAATATCTTGTTTGCTTATATTTATCTTATATTCAATATATAAATAATTAGTATTCTCTATCGAAATAATCTCAAAATGTTACCATCGGAAGTATTCAATGAATTGAATGCTTTACAACTTTTGTGAGTGATAGAAGAAAAGAAAAAGGAATAAGGCATGTCTAGTATCCGTTAGCGAATATACACAGCTTTGCAGTGATAATGATGATCATATAGCATGAAAGTAATCCTTTGATCGAAAAAAACAAAACTTCACCTTTTATTTTAATCATTTGCATGAATCCATTTATTCTTATGATCATAGCATATTTTCGAACAATCACCTTGTGCATTTACCATTCGGTATATTTCATCACAAATTCACACATTTACAACTCTTGTGAGTAAGCATTGCTTTAATTGCATATTATTTATATCTAGAACTTTTATTTTGTCTTGTACTCATGTTATTCAATTATAAAAACTATTTTAATTCAATAGATTATTAAATGCAAATAAAATTGTTTGTATACGTGGTGATACATTTGATGGATTAGAAAAATTAAGTTTATTATCATTATATGATAATCAATTAAAAACTTTAGCAAATGAAACATTTAGTCCATTAAAAAGTCTTCAGACATTGTAAGATTGCTTTTTTAAGAATTTAATTGTTTGAAAAATATAGTCTTTTTTTCTTTTCTTCTCTGAAGACATTTAGCACGTAATCCATTTATATGTGATTGTCATTTACGATGGTTGAATGCATATTTACGTGAAAAACAAATTGAAACAAGTGGTGTTCGTTGTGCAGCACCACGACGTATGATAAAACGTAAATTTGGTGTTTTAAATGATCGAAGATTTCGATGTCGAAGTAAGAAAACAAAAATATATCATATCCACATAGTAAACTAAAAACATATTAGATCGAATGGAATATGAACAAACAGCATATGTTGCTCAATGTGAAATACAATGTCCAAAAGGATGTACATGTCATAAAACAACAGTTATATGTCGAGGATTACAATTACAAGCAATCCCTAATGATATCCCAGCGTTTACTACTATACTGTAAGTTATTTTCTAATAGAACAGTTTAACATCAGATAATGTAAATCAGTTTCAATCACTTCTCAACGCGGAAACATTAGTCATGATAGATTCTTCAATTCATTTTTTTTTATGAACTATATAAAGTTTGTCACGAACTTATCATTATATAAATATACAATCGTTTA